GATTTTAGAAAGTGGACAAAGCATAACGTGCACACTTAACAGCTATGTGGATTTTAGAAAGTGGGCAAAGCATAACATGCACACTTCTCGTGGCACCCTGAAAGAGCAGCCCATAGATAGAAATAGCCCATCTTTCCAAAAACGCTATGTCTATGGCTAAAATGCTGGAGTGGCTAGCAGTAAATCTGTAGCTGAGGGAGCAAACATCCAGCTCTCAATCGAGAGGGAGCTCAACCTACAGCATGTTCCAATGGTGGAACAGCTAGCAGTTATTTAGCTGAGGGAGCAACACACCCAGTTCTCAGTCGAGAAGGGGGCTCGACCTATAGCATGTTCCAATGCTGGAACGGCTAGCAGTAGTTTACCTTGGCTGAGGGAGCACAAACCCAACTCTCAAAGAGAGGGGGCTCGACCTGCAGTGTGATTGTTAAAATCAGAAGGGTAAGCATACTGCAAGCTAGCCAAACACTCAGCGCATCAGGGAGGTAGAGGAAGGGCCTAAATCGCCTGATGCTGCTGGTTCCAGGTGCTCTGGAGAAACAGAAAACTCAAACTTCTCATGTGAGAGGAGAACTCCGAATTCAGAGGAATAACGCTGCTCATTCCAAGTAACCCTCTGATAAAGGGTAGCACTGCTCAATACTACCACGAGGACAGCCCATGGAGCGAGAAATCCAACTCCTCAGAGAGGATTAACGCTCGAAAGAAAGCACCATACTCACAGTAACCCTCAATGTGAGGGGAGCGATGCTTCCAAAGTGTGTTGACAGAGACACACTAGTTGAGTGGAGCCCAAGTTACCAGGGTCTAACCAACTAAGAGAAAGGGAACGAGGTCAATAACGCGTAACCCTTACCATACAGGATTTTAGAAAAGTGGGCAAAGCATAACGTGCACACTTACCACTTATGTGGATTTGTAGAAAAGTGCACAAAGCTTAACGTGTGCACTTACCATAGTATTTGGATTTTGGAGTTTTCCAAGCATCTGCTCACAGCCAAATGGGAGAGGAAAGCTCAAATACAACCCTCAAAGGTGAGGGGAGCACTGCCCGAGACAGCATTTACAGCAAGAGAAGAGGAGATATCCTGGTGATCGGGAAGCCCCTCAGGGCGACCCAGATACGGTAGACCAGTCAGGGTAGCATGAAAGCGTAACCCCAGCCCGGACGTCCAGGAAATTTTTGCAGTTACGCGCCGGGGGCCTGATGATCACGAAGGCTCCCGCAGAAGCCTGTGTTATGGCCGCATGATCCAGGAAGTATGAAGCCGAAACCCGGCTTTTCTTATGGGCTCAGACCTGGACTTCGTGAAGACCGCTATCCCGGTCTTTCAGCAGGTCAGCCTGATATGCTTAGAGCAACACCATCGTGTGCAATGAAGCGACAGCCCGACCTGCTGCTGCTGCTGCGTATGCTCTGGCATCCGAGTGAGATGTCAAGAAGGGGAGTCTTAGAGGAAAAAACGGCCTCTTCCATTCCATCTCAATGTTTATATGGAAAACAGGAAGAAAGTTCATCGAGATACTTCGTGACGTCACTTTCTTTACCCGCTTCACGGCAAGTAAAGCCTCGCCGTGGTGCGATCCATAATTTCCAAAAGCTCATCATACGTAGGGCAGGAGGATTGGGAAGGCTCAGGCTGAGCTTCTTTGCCCTCCTCAGACATTTCCTGCTTTTGCTGGGCTGATCCCAGCAGAGCACTGGCCCCTGAATCAGACAATGTTAATGAAATAACATCATCCTCCAGCGGCTCACTCTCGTGCACAGCTGACGAACGTGAAAGGGAAACCCCTCTTCAAACTCATCGGCCAGATCCACCTGCGATCCCCATGAGCTCATTCCCTTCCGTGCTTCAGCATCGGCGGGTAACGAATTGCGGGAAGCAGACAGCTGCCCCTTTTTCCTTGAAAAGAGAGACAAACGAGAGTGGAGCTTTTCCCTTGGAAAAAACGCTCACAGTGCATGCCGATTGCCCCCTCGGAGGCATTGCGTGCGTGCTCTTCGCCCAAACAAATAACGCATAGATCGTGTGTGTCACCAGATGTTAAACAACGTCAACACGGATGCACACATCCTTAAACGCTTTGCTAGTGCTTGCCATAATGAGATGAATAGAGATCGCTCTTACCACAGAAATGCACGCTTCAAACAAAACAGTCAATGAAGACGAAGAAGAGAACGATGTGTGCTCCCCGCCTATTTATACTATAGTCGCACCGGTAGTGACGTCATGGCTGTCGCCGGCCAACGAGTTGGTGTTTTTTCAATGTATGCTTCAGACACGTTTCACGACGAGGCGTTCCCATAGTGACCCCTAGAGGACGCAGTTCGAAGTTCCCATGAAAGGGAAGTAAAACGTATCATCTTAACAACTAGCGAAAAATTAAAGCAATATTTCGACTTTGTCAATAGCATCCAGTGTTTTACTTATCTTTGTTTGGGTAGCCTACACATTTTTTATTATTATTATTATTTTTAAATACTTTAAAAAAGGTATTTTTTTTGTTCATAATACTTTATTTGTTTTATAAAGATCTAAACTTAAAAAAAGGGAAAAAACAGTTAAAAGGCCTTAGAAAAAAATCGAATTAATCGTTTTTCAAATGTTAATTTTACAAATCTAGAGTAAAAGTAGAAGTGAAATGCACTACAAAAGCAAGTAACAATGTCTTACCTTCTCAGTGCTCGGAAGGGTTTGCGTGCGCGTAAAAGTATCTTCTCCATTAATGCTGATCAGTTCCGCGTCTGCTGGCGGAAATGGCGAGGGGAAAACGACTACATCACTCTTTATTGTGTCGGAACTAAAACACACGTCGTACTGTTGTGTGGATTTAGAGAAGGACCAGCTTCCGTCTGGATGTGTGCTGATCACTGGAGCGCTGTAGTTAATAACGGGTGCTGGAAAATCTGGTGCATTGTCGTTAACATCTGAGATATGTAGAGTTATAACAGTGCTGCTGGAAAGAGACGGAGTTCCTTCATCTGCAGCTGTAATTGTGATGTTATACAGAGAAGCACTCTCTCTGTCCAGAGGTCCGTCTACCACTAGAGAATAATGATTGTTATATGATGTCTCCAGTTTGAAAGGAAACGAGCCTTTCAGAGCACAGTGTACAATCCCGTTTTTACCTCCATCTTTATCGGAGACTGTAACTAAAGCAACTGCAGTTCCCGGTTTTGCATCTTCTTTCACACTTTCCAGCAGAGGAGTCGTAACTATCTCTGGCACGTTGTCATTCTCATCCACAACTTCTATTAAAACTTTACAGTGTGTACTTTTAGGAGGACTGCCTTTATCTCTCGCCTGAACTCGCAGTTCAATTGCAGAGTCTTCTTCATAGTCAATTTGTCCTTGAACAGCAATTTCCCCTGATTTGGAATTAATTGTAAACCGGTTCGTTTCATCGGTATTTTCATGACCAAGAAATGAATACTGAATTTCACTATTTATGCCCTCATCCAAATCACTGGCAGAAACAGAGATTATTTTGGTTCCGATCGGTGAGTTTTCCTTCACTTTAACTTTGTACAAAGGTTTTCTGAAAATAGGTTTATTATCGTTAACATCAATTACGTCAACAACAATACTCAATGTTCCAGATTTAGGAGGTTTTCCTCCGTCAACAGCGGTGAGTATTAAGTGAATAGCAGCTTGTTTTTCTCTGTCTAAAGCTTTCTGTAGCACTAATTCAGCCAACATACTCTTTTGCCCGCTATGAATATCTAAAGAAAAATATTCATTTGAACTGAGTTTGTAGTCTTTCAGAGAATTACTGCCAACATCTGAATCTTTTGCAATTGGTAGAGGAAACCTGTCCCCCTCATTTGCAATCTCTGTAACATTAACAACATATGTGCTTTCTGGAAAAAAGGGAGCATTGTCATTCACATCCACGACTATAATTTCAAGCCGATAAAGTCTGTGAGGATTTTGAGCAAGAGCCTCTAAATTTAACGCACATTTCTGATTGCTGCCACACAACTCCTCGCGATCAATCCGGTCTTTGACAAACAGCGAGCCCGTTTTTACATTTACATCAAAATACTTTGCATTTGATCCTGCAGGCATAATCTGAAACATGCGTGATTCTAGTTCCTGAGCACTGATCTTCAGGTCTTTTGCTATATTCCCGATCACAGTTCCCTTATTTACCTCCTCGGAGACGGAATAGACAATCTGGCCAAGCGAAGAGTCCCATAAAGACAGAAATACAACGATCCAGAAGCTGTAATATTTTGTAACATCCATTCTTGTGCAGCAAAATGTCCTGTGATTATTTACTGTAAAAACGATTGAAACAACTAAACAGACATCTGTCGACACAATCAGACATCACGACGCAGAAGCGATAAGCCTTGGTTATTTACACGCCTTCAACGCATTTCCTCTTTGTTCTGATGCTGTAAAGGAGGAGCTCAGATCAATCTCAAAGTCATGGTCTGCAGTGCCACCGCGTGTTGTAAAAGTGAAGAGACAATTATGTCACTTCATAAATGTTTTTCTTAAACGGAGTGAGCCACACTTATCACCTCCTAAATTAAGTCAAATCTAAGCCTTCAACTCTACGCAGTCATTACGAAACAAAAATAAAAAATGTAAATAGGATAGAATAGAATATGGTGAGAAGGAATATACGACGTCACTGACACTGTCCGTGGTACTGAAGTATTTTTTGCTCTTTAAAAACTAAACAGGCTAGTGTTAAGCCACGAAACAAACAAAAATCAACTAACAAACAGCAATATGGTATCAAAATGTAATCGTTCCAACGTGCAAAAATAAAATTTGAAATACAAAATAAATAAAAAATAAATAAATATACGCTGTCTTGCAGTGTACAAAACCAAAGTCACTGAGAAAGTAGAAACGCAATACAAGCAAATAACTATGTCATGAAATCCCAAAGCTGCACAGTGATACGAATATATATGTCCCAAGAGTCACGAGATGCTGGAATAACTCACAAAACTAAAATGTATCATGTCAACAACATGTGAAAAATTCGTTTCCACTTTATCAACAGCATCCAGTATTTTACTTGTTAACATCAGTTTGGGTGTGCATGAACTTTTATTTTTAAACACTTGAAATATTGGGAGAAAAAGATAACTCTCCATTATCAGACACTGTGATAAGAAGAGGGTGAGTTTTTAAGTCATTGTCACTCATTCGTCTCTTAGTCCTTATTTCTCCAGTGCTGCTTCCAATGCGGAAGAGATTCGTTCCTTTGGGTTCAGTTAGATGATAAGACAGAAGTGCGTTATATCCAGAGTCAGCATCAACAGCTCTGATCTTGGCTACAAAGTATCCCGCTTCAGCAGAGTAGGGAATGTTCTCACTATTAACTGATCCAGGTTCAGAATAAGGCGGTAAAATAACCGGACTGTTGTCGTTCTCATCCAGAATAAACACATTTACTGTTAAGTTACTGCTTAGCGATGGAATACCTGAGTCTGTGGTCTGAACGACAAACTGAAATGACTTAAGGTCTTCATAGTTAAATGATTGTTTACTGTACAGGTCTCCGCTCTCACTATTTATGTCAATCGTAGAGACCAATGGAATGACAGTTTTGTCTCTGCTAATTATAGTATACGAAATATGAGCATTCTCGTTGATATCTGGATCTTGAGCAGTCAATGTCGCTATAATGGCACCTGCTGGACTGTTTTCTTTTAAATATACGTTCTTTACAGTTTCTGGAAAGCGTGGCGCGTTGTCATTCACATCAGATATATGAACTGTGATAACACTGGTACTAGAAAGTGAAGGAATCCCTTCGTCTGAAGCTATTATTGTGATACTATAATTCGCAATTTCTTCTCTGTCCAGTGGTCCATCTACAACTAAAGAGTAGTAGTTTTTATATGAGGACTCGATCTTAAACGGAACCTGACCTACGATATTGCAATGCAATATTCCATTTTTTCCTCCGTCTTTATCAGATATTGTAATAAGAGCCACAGCTGTTCCGACTTTTGAATCCTCTTTGATAGTACTCGTCAAAGAAGTCACCATCAGCTCGGGTGGATTGTCATTCATATCAACTACTTCAACTAACACCTTACACTGTGAACTCTTAGGAGGGTGGCCTTTATCTTTGGCCTCCACCCTCAATTCCACAGCTGCATTTTCTTCATAATCTATATTACCTTTAACTGCTATAAGTCCGCTGTCGGGGTTAATTGAAAATAAATCTGATGCTTTGCTAGTTCCTTGCTTAACAATAGAAAATGTTATATCACTATTTATTCCCTCATCTAAATCCGAAGCGGAAAGGGAGATGATTTGGGATCCCAGAGCAATATTTTCGTTCACTTTCACTTTGTAAAGAGATTTGCTAAAAACTGGGGAGTTGTCGTTAAAATCCAAAACATTAACCATTATTTCTAATGTTCCAGACATTGCAGGTTTCCCTCCATCAACAGCAGTCAGTGTTAGATGAATGACAGGCTGTTTTTCTCGATCTAAAGCTTTAACCAGAACCAGTTCGACAGTGACACTCTGTTCGACGTTCTGCACATCCAGAGAAAGGTGCTCGTTGGGACTAAGCTTGTAGGTTTTAACCGCATTGTTGCCCGAGTCTGGATCTTCAGCCAAAGGAAGAGAAAATGTCTCTCCAGGAGAAGAGACTTCCGTTATATTCAGTATCTGACTGCTTATAGGAAACGATGGCGCGTTATCGTTGATGTCAATTATATGTATTTCTATTCTATACATGCTCAATGGATTATGGGCCATTGCTTCTAAAAGCATCGTACATTTCTGATCAGTAGAACAGAGCGATTCTCGATCAATTCGATTATTCACAAACAGATTCCCAGTCTTTAAGTTCACCCCAAAATACCTTTTGTTGGTTCCATATACAATCTGAAACATGCGAGGTTCCAGTTCCTGCACATTGATGTGAAGATCTTTTGCTATATTCCCGACAACGGTTCCCACATTCACTTCCTCGGAGACGGAATATGCAATCTGACCGGAGGATAAAGTCCAACAATAAGACAGCAGAATCGTAGTCCATATAGATCCAACATATTGATTCATCTCTGCTTAAAACCAACAATTCAAGATTTAAACGAAACAAATAAACACTGAACCAAAACAAGCAAAACCAGCTCGAACAAGGTTCACTACACAACCGCAGAAGACACCGCTGATTTGAGAAGGTTAAGATTGGTGCTTTGGAAGGAGGAGACATACAAATAAGCCAGTAATTTTGGTCTTGCAAAATTTTCACGGTTAACAGCGGCTCCAGGTGGTTTCTAATGGAACTGTAGTGCACTATTAAAGTTGCTCCAGGAAAAGCTTCAAGTATAAAAGGACATAGAAACTCTGGAAAGTGTATTTTTTAAACGCACTTACACGACACAGTAGAATAGAGAGGCAAAGAAGGGCTTGTGTGATGATGAGATTATCTTAAATATCAGGTTAACTGTCCACTATCAGTTTCCACACTGAATAGGCCTATCCGTAACATAAACAAGTGTAAAGATTTTGCAAGCGGTAAAATAAACGAATAAATAAATAAATCAGCAAATCCTTAAAGAAGTAAACCTTAGCTCAGTGGGTTCGTGTTTAAATCGTTAACAAAATAAACTTTAATGATAAAAATTCCAGTTGTATAAGAGAAGACATGCACAATTAAAACAACTGTCGCTGTCCAGTGAGAAGTTCTGAAATTCAAACAGGAACTCTGCTTTAGAACATCTTTTAAGAAAAGAACGAAAATGCGAAAGAAGAAGAAGTATTTGAACACGTTTTTTATGATAACTTTTGTGGACTAATTTTAATTGCAATAATAATAATAATAATAATAATAAATAGGCTAAATAAATAACGCAAAGTTCTGTCCCACATTTTGTACTCCATCCTGCTACAATTTTACGGTGAAAAAAAATTAAAAATAAAAATAAATCTGTGGCACCAAGGACGTAACATTATTTGGAATCGTTTACATCAATGAGTGAAATGAATATCATTCCATTTAGTACGTTTTTTAAAAAGTATTTTGTTGATTGCGTTTCTCAAAGATATTCAGCCTCTCAGTTCTGAATTCTTCTACAAGTTGTTGCGCGCCCACAAATCATGATTTTAAACTCTATTTAGACTTATATTTTATATGAAATGTGAGTTGCAAACTAAATAGAAAATGAAAATACTATAAAGCAGCAATTTTTTGTACACTATTAGTGGAAAGCGTGAAAAATAATAAAACAACCCTCCATCATTGGTGGCAACTTGTCAGCACATCATGATATTCCATTTCAGAAAAATGCAACCGGATTGGTTTCGAATGAAAAATATCTTAAAAGTATAACAAAAACACAACAATGAGCTTTTTACCACAAACAAATAATGAGACATAGCTATATCTATTTATTTATTTCCCCCCAATGAAAGGAGTAGGTGCGCGTAAAATATTTTTTTCTTCTCCTACTATAATTTGTAATAACATGAAAGACACAGAGTTATGAACACATAATGAAAATTAAATGTAATGACAGCTAAACAACTTCTTAAAGCTTGAAAATGTGTTTCAAAATAATAATATTACATAAAGAGAAATCACCTACATCTTACCTTCTCGGAGGTAGGAAGAGTCTGTGTGCGCGTAAAAGTATCTCCACTATTAATGCTGATCAGTTCCGCGTCTGCTGGCGGAAATGGCGAGGGGAAAACGACTACGTCACTCTTTATCGTGTCTGAACTAAAACACACGTCGTACTGTTGTGTGGATTTAGAGAAGGACCAGCTTCCGTCTGGATGTGTGCTGATCACTGGAGCGCTGTACCTGCTGAAACTGCTGTCTGTCCTGTAGCATTTAACTGCTATCAAACCCACCAGACTCAGTAAAAAGATGACTGATACTGAGACAATAGCGATGAGCAGATACAGATTCAGATCCGAAAAACTCTCCTCTTTAACAGGAACTTCTGTGAATGATGTCTTTATGTCATCCAGACTCTCAACAACCACAACATCCATGGACATAGTTGCTGAGAGCGATGGCTCTCCATTATCAGACACTGTGATAAGAAGTGGGTGAGTTTTTAAGTCATTGTCACTCATTCGTCTCTTAGTCTTTATTTCTCCAGTGCTGCTTCCAATGCGGAAGAGATTCGTTCCTTTGGGTTCAGTTAGATGATAAGACAGAAGTGCGTTATATCCAGAGTCAGCATCAACAGCTCTGATCTTGGCTACAAAGTATCCCGCTTCAGCAGAGTAGGGAATGTTCTCACTATTAACTGATCCAGGTTCAGAATAAGGCGGTAAAATAACCGGACTGTTGTCATTCTCATCCAGAATAAACACATTTACAGTTGCATTACT